ATCATACCCATGTGTGTATTTCAAAATGCATTCTACTGTCCTGTATAACTAAAAAGAACAAAAATAAACATTTTTATATAAAGAGAAAAAAAAGAAAAATAAATAAATAAAAAGACCAATTTTTTCTTTCATTGATTTTCTCCATTGCTTTTTTTCTGTTTTCACATTTCCTTTTTTTTCTGCTTTTTAAAATTTCTTTCCCTCTGTTGCTTTGGGATTATCTGGCTGCTTTGGGTGAGTCTTGAGGCAGAAGCTCAGATTATTAACTTCAGATTTTTGTTTTTCTCTAATATAAGTACTTACTGATATAAACTCTGATGTTACTTTTTTCTTCATTCAGCTCAACGTATTTTGTATTTCACATGAGACAAGTTAAAGACTCAGAACAGCAGAAAAATAAGGAATAGAAAAAGATGTATCATGAAAACCAAAGAAAATTGGTATAGCTCTAATAATATTAGAGAAAGTTGATTTTAACTCATGATACATTACTACATGTAAGGCCATCAAATAGCTCTTCAATGGGAAAATAGTGTCCTTAGTTAAGCCATTTTAATATAGAGAACTGTGTTTGAGGGAGGTCGGTTTGTTAGCTGTATCTTATACTCTTATTTATGGATTTCAGCACTATAAATGTGGTGGGAGGCAGATACCATTTCATTCAATAAAGTCTGAAAAAATAATAATGCGTAATTGTGTCAACAACTTTCCAAGAGTTTTATGAAATTATTCACTATTGTTTTTACAAAATATCCAAACTTGTCCTGATGCATTTTGGGATATTGTTTGCAAATAGTGTTTCCATCATGTCAACAAATAGATGACCTTAGCTGTCAATGGGCAGCCTGAGACACATACTATTAGACCTTTAAAATTACTTTCATAGTCAAAATACTTGAGATTTTATCAAAGTCTTATGCTTAAAAAATTGTAAATCATAATTAAAGATTGATATAACCAGACTCAGTTTGAAATATAAACAAAATTCTGTCTCAAAATTTTCAAATATTGGGTTTACAACAAGTTTTTTTTTTGTTGTTTTTTTTTGTTTGTTTGTTTTTTCCTTTTGTGAGCTTCTAACTAAAAATAGAGCATCAGCCATCTAGTGCTCAACTAGGGTAGGACCTGCTGTCAAGGTCATGGTGGGCAGTAGGATTCAGTTTTCCAAAATCCTTAGTTCTTAACTGGCTGTGGGCCAGGGCCTCCCTCTGTTTCCTACCTTATGGGTCTCTCCATCAAAATGTGCGAGTTGAGAAAAAAATAGAGTCTGTTATCCAAAGGAAGGCTTAAGGACACAAGTCACATCCCATCATGTATGCCATATTTTATTCATTAGAAGGGAGTTAATAAGTTCTGCTGACACCTCACAGGAGGTAATTATACATGGGAATGGGTTGCAAAAGGTGGGGATCATTATGAATTATTTTAGAAATATACCCCACATGATTATCAATGTGGAAACATGTTAAATAAAGTTAGGTATATCCATACATCTTAAAAAAAAACATTGAAAGTTCTAGATAGTACTGATAAGTAAATATTTCAGTATCTTTTAACCAAAAAACAGTGGTAGTATGATGCATTTTGCGTATAAAAGATGGATAATAAGAATCTATAATTATATTTGTTTGTACACGGTTAAAGAAATATGAAAGGATATATAAGAAATGAGTTAGTATTACCAAGGCTGGGAATAAGGGGTAAGAACTGGGTGGCAATGAAACAGAGGTCAGAGAGATGTTTCACTGTAGTTTTTATTTTTTTCAAAAAAATTGAACTATATTGATGCATCATCTACTCAATTACTAAATAAAAATAAAGGGAGGATTTTTACAGTCCTCAAAGTTTTCTCTTCTCTGCCTTCTCCAGGGGCAGAAGAAGCTGAGGGGGCAATCTCTTATGCTGAGACTTTAAGTGGTTCAGTATGCAGTTAGTGTTTCCTACAGTAGCCACTTAAATGCAATTTTCTGTCAAGGCTACCAATTAGAACCTACTGCAGCTACCATGAGAAAGCAGAATGCACCCTCCACTCAAAATCTGGTTCCAATGTCAAGACTGATGATGTCACCCACACAAGAATGGTATATGGAAAGGTTTATTACTTACACAATGGGCTTTTCTGGGAAGAAAACCACTTGTCTCCCAAGATGATCTGAAAATGGCTTAAGAAAGCAAATCTCCCCGGGGGGGGGGGGTGTTAATTACAGTCAGAAATGCTGATCTGAACATTTCTGCTTGAGGGTTATTTTTAAAATAGTTTTATTTAAGTATAATTGGCATACAATAAATTGCATATTAAAGTATACAGTATGCTAAAATTGGCATATATACATACCTGTAAAACTGCCACAATCAAGATAATCAATATATTATTCACCTCCAAGTTTTTGTATTCCCAATTGCATCTTAATGAATTTGTTTTTCTTTATAGTTGCTTATTTTTTACACAATAGTGAGATTTGTTGCTACATACTCATACACTCACACAATATAACACAATTTGATCAATTTCATCCCCTAGTAAGAGTTGGTGTTTTGTACAGTTTAAATCTCCCCTGCCTCCAAAGATGGGAGTTCCCACTCTTTCTTAGCATCCTGCCCAGATGACCAGTACAAGGGGAAGAGGCAAGAGTGAAGCATAATAACATTCAGTATCAAATATAAAACAATATAGTCATCTTTTATATTTTAATACTAGAAAAAGGTAATTTGTACTGTCACATAATATTATAGTTGACTCATACAACTTGTTTCATTTAAGAAAAGCTACAGAGGGCTGGAGATGTGGTTCAGTGGTGGAGTGCTTGGCTAACATCCATGAGGCCCTGGGCTCCATCTCCAGCACTGTAGAAGAAAGAAAGAGAAAGGAAAGGGGGTGGGGGGAGAAAGAAAGAAAGAAAACTACAGAATCCTTACAAATATTTAATCTGATCAAGCTTATTAAAAAATCCTTAAAAATTATCAGAATCAGATGCCTACAAAAGGCTGTAGGAGACAAAGAAGTGTTCCTTCAGGAGATACCTTTTTTCATCTATTGGACTAGCAAAAATTATGAAGAATATTGGTATACAGTATGGTCCAGGATATAAGAAGCCATGCAATCCATACACTCAAAGGGAGTTAAAAAGTATATATTGTTACATCTTTGGACAAGGGTAATATGATACCCAATTTAAGTGTGCATTTTCTCATATGCAATTCTAGTTTTAGAAACTTATTCTGAGGAAACAATCAAATAAGTGCAAAATGTAAGACCACATACACATATGCTAAGAAACAATGCTTGAGATAAAGAAAAAGGGTGGCAACAACTTAAACATGCAACTACTGAGATTTAAGTATGCTATTATATCTTTATATCATGAAATATAGCCATTAAAAAGATTCAGAGAAATACTGACATGGAGAAATTATTCACATTAAATTTTAAATTCAAAGGGACACAAAATAGAATTACAGTATTATGCCGCTGTTATTTACTCGATAGTTTATAAGTGCACAGAAAAAAAGGCAAAATAATATACTGTAAATTTTTAATGTTTCATTTCTATTGTAATATTTTGGTTACTCTTATTTTCATCTTAGTTCTCCTCACTATTCCCCAAGATTTTAAACCAAATTGGAATCTCAGAAATTTTTAAGGTAAACCATCAAAAGTATATATAATGCTACTACTATATATAGAATTATTTTGTAAATTGGGCTAACCAGTTAGAAACCTATATGGAGGAAGCACAGAAAATATTGTAATACAATACACAATAATGATGATGGTTAGCATCACCACAAAATCTTGGTGGCTGGAAATTGAATAGAAATTAAAAGGCTAGCAAATGTTTTTTCCCTAAAATGCTTAAACATTTGAAAGACACTTTAAGAACAAAAAACATCTATTACAACCACCCATCATCAATAACAATACCAGCAAGAAAAACAGTACCCCTTAAATTTGTAAAGATCAATTTTGCAAGCAATTTTTACAGGATCCTGGTATTAGCTCCATTTTAGATATGAATTTATCACTCATTTTCACAAATTTAAATCACATTACACTTCTGTTTTTCACAACTATTGCAAGCATTTAGTTAAAATGTATTCACTTCGAAATTAACTTCGACGAAGTAGCTAACACTTAAAAGTTAATCTCTACTTCCAGTAAGGCAGATGCAAGCTGCATTGTATTCCGTCTCCTTCGCAAAACCTTGCGTAGGACATGGTTGTTGATTGTTGGTAGAGGGATTAAAAATGCTTTATTAACAATGTTTAATTGCGGGAAGGAGGTATATTCCCGGTGTTCTAATATTGCACCTGAAATCTAATGAAAAAATAAATAAAAAGTAAAATGTTAACTTCTCTGAAAAACCCGCCTGCGCGCCACATACCTTGATTCGTGCTTTCTCTATAAATTCTAGAGGGGCTTTCCCAAGCTCCAATCCAGCTCCAATCCAAGGAATCCATCCCTTGATGCACGGAGGTCTACGCAAATTCTTTCGTTGAAGGCATAAGAAAAGAACAACGCAACCCAGGGCTATAATCACTGTTGGGGAAATCAATTCTGTATTTTGCTCCATCATTTTCCAAAATGAGAGAAGTTTGACAAAGTCCTGCTGACCTGGCACTTTCTCGTACCCTGTGGGCTAGGGAAGACCCTCCGGGTCTCCCAATTTTTCCGCTCCAACTTTTGCAGCTAATTCTCTTTCGTAATTGTAACTTCCTTTCCCCGCCCCAATTTTTAGGTGATGTTTGCATCATCGCTCCCTCCCACCTCCTCTTCTATTTCAAATCCTGGCTACCACCAAAACCAGGCAAGGGCTGGGCTGGGCTAGACGGGGCGGGGCGGGGCGGGGCCGGAGGGAGGGAGCAAGAGTTGTTGCCATGGAGACCTAGGGACAACTGCTTAACCGGCGTCTCTCTACCCGCCAATCAGAGAAGTCGCGGAGTCCGGCGGACTACATTTCCCAGAAGCCTCATAGCTCCGCTTTGTTTTTCGGCTCTTGACCGGGGCCGCTGGACCACTCTAGTTTGGGGCTGCTAGGAAGGCGCGGATTCACCGAGCCTTTCTGGGGGAAATGGTCTCTACCCGACCGCTTGCGGGTTGAGAAGAGGCCGCCGTGGCAAACTGGCAGGCCAGCGCAGCGGGTGCACCGGCGAGAAGGGGTGCATTGTCGTCCACACCTGCTGCTGAATGTCTAACCCGGAGGATGAGGAGAGGCTTTTGCCAATCGCCCAGAGATGGCCCCGAGCGAGCAAGTTCGTACTGTCCGGCTGCGCGGCTACCGTGGCCGAGCTAGGTACCCGGCCGCCCACACCTGGGCCTCCTCGGCAAGTCGCCGCGCCGTGGCGCTGGGGGAGGGATGGGCGCGCTGCTTCGCTCCAGGCTGTGTGCATCCCAAGAGGTTGCGCCCTCTTCTTGCACACCTGCCTGGCCGAAGCAGCAGGGTGGAGGCAAGGCCAGCTTTGGGAGAAGGAATTGAAGGTCTCTGAGGTGCTTTTGGTCCAATTTCGTCTAATCTCCCTTAGAGATGTGCTGTTGTGTCCGAATGTATATACTTTTAGAAGCTTCATGAGCTGTCATTCCTCTCTATGAATCATTTTCCTTTTGGTAAGGATGGCTTTTAAAAAAAATACATTTTTCATCCTTATTGGAATCGTCTCTGACAAGATTTACACACTTAGTCTCATTGTCTTTTAAATCCAAGTTGTGGATTTACCTTGTGGGACTTCAGTTCTTAACCATTCATTGTTGAGCATGGATTTAACATCTTCCAGTTACCTGACCTCTTTAAGTTGAACTCATCTATATTGTGTTTACTTTACAGGAAGGATCCTGAGAAGTCAATGATATGTATATACTAAATTCATGGCAGGGCACCTATTAATTGCGACATCATTGTAATTACTACAGTAGTAGGGCCTGAGGATATACAGTTGAACAGTTCCTGTTCTGACCTTCTTACAAGGCTGGTGGGAAGACATGCAGAGAAAGACAATTACAATGTGCTACTTATTATGATGAAGCTATTTTTAGGTTATCATAAGAGCCTAGAAGAACTGTTTGATCTGCTAAATGAGTCAGAGCAAACTTTAAGAGACCACCCAGAGGGAAATTATGATGCCCTTGCATGATCAGGTGGTGTTTCTTCCAAGGGTTTTGTGAGTAGAGTGCCTGTGTGTTCCCTGTGAAGCTTTAACTGTGTATTTCAAGATTACCCTTACATTTTCTTGCCCATTAAAAAAAAAAAAACACAAAAGAGGAATACCTCTGATGCATTAATCATTTGTGAATGTTAGTCTTGTTCTAACATGAGTTTATTTTGCATTTCTGGCAGAGCCAGCACATGCTGTTGTTTGTCTTTTGTACTCTCACACTTGCCCTTTGCCCCTACCCTATCCTCTTTCCTCTCAAAGCTGATGGAGGGATTTTATTTTTCATTGTTTTTCCTGAAATAAAATTCATCAACTTTAAAAGAAATCTAAAGTGAGATTGCTGAATAATTAGATGTATTCCCAGTTTGTTTTTTAACTGATTTTTCTCCTTATGACTCAATGGCTTTTTGTACAGGAAGACTGCTCTTGTAAAAAATTCAGGGAGAGAACTGTGTGGGGAATGGAGATGGGAAGCAAGGGATTCACAATACTGGATGATTCTGAGTACAAATTTTACAAATTGATTCAAGGTTTTACAAATTGATTCAGGATCAGACCCCAAAGCATAGAGTAACCAGAAAGAAAAAAAAAATATTTTGAGAGGCATAGTTTGTACTTAGAGGCTCCTGTTTCTTGTGACTTTTCTTCAGGTTCTTATGTCAATACAACATTGCTTAATTCTCCATATACAAGTTAATTCTGATTCAGGGAAACTATTGGCAAAATATTCCAAAGTGGTAATATTTAATATTATTTTCCTTCTCCCCACTCTGTCTCCTCTTAGAAAAGGCGTGCTCAATTGGGTGCTGTGGCACAGGCCTTTAATCCTAGCTGCTCTCGAAGCTGAGACAGAAGAACTGCATATTTGAGGCCTGCCTGGGCAACTTATGTAGGCCCTGTCTCAAAAAATAAAAGGGTCCAGGGACATAGTTGAGTGGTAAACCCTGGATTCAATCTTCAGGACCACAAAAAAAAAAAAAAAAAAAAAAAAAAAAAGAAGAAGAAGAAGAGAGAGAAAGAAAGAAAAGGCATGTTGAAGATTTGTATTAGGTGGTGATCATTAAAATCTTATGTCAGTAATGTTCATGAACCTGTCCTAATGTGAATAAAATCAAGTTATAAGCTTGATTTTCCTTATATGGGTCAGGTAGCTTAACTCTGTTTTAAGGTAAAAGATCCATCTCTACTTCAATATGTAAACAGAAAAAGGTTTTACAAATATAGTTGATAACTTGTAAGGAGCCTACAAATATGCCACGCTTAAACTTATCAGTGCTGGAAAACAACTAATAAGTCTTAATTTAAGAAATATTGAGCATGCCACCCTTCTATATAAAAGAAGACATTATGAACTCCATTGAATCTTCTGTACATCAAATATCAGGGCTGTGATTCATTTGCATGTGAAAAATCAACCATGAAATTATAAAATTCTGCTTTATCTTGCATTTGTAATAGTACATAAGAATACATAGTACAGTGTTCTAAAGTTACAACAGTTGTTAAACAATCATGGTTGCAATCAGGAGGACAACACAGAATATGGATATTTATTTTCATTGTAGAGGAAAAAAATTAAAGTTACTAAAGTAGATTATTGATTGAAATTTTGGAATGAAAAGAACTCAAGGGTTTTTTCACTTTTTGATTTTTGATTGGTGATCCAGTTTGCTCTGGTACCCTGATTCTTAAATTTGGTAGTGTCTGAGAATCAACTGATTTGAAACCCTTGTAAGTCTGCCAAATTAGAGTACATGGGCATGGGACTAGAAAATCTGTAATTCTAAAATTTGACAACCAATAATCTTGGGAAAACATTAGTCCTGTGATTTTAGAATTTTTGCTTGTTTCTCTGAATGTTGTGGGTTTTTTCCCCTCGCTTGTTTGTTTTTTGTTAGCAACCTTTCCCCTCGATCTTACAAAAACTCGACTCCAAATGCAAGGAGAAGCTGCTCTTGCTCGGTTGGGAGACAATGCAAGAGAATCTGCCCCCTATAGGGGCATGGTGCGCACCGCCCTAGGAATCATTCAGGAGGAAGGCTTTCTAAAGCTCTGGCAAGGAGTGACGCCCGCCATTTACAGACACGTAGGTATTTATCTTGATTCTAGCTGGTAAGTTTGTTATGAGTCTTGTGTTTGTCTTCTCTGTGTTTCCATTTAGCTGTATCCAAAAGCCAGCTAAATTTTTTTCCCCTACTGATGATAAATGAACATATAATCAATCTCTTAGGAAGAAAAAGTTATCTATTGTTACTAAGGAGTTACTATCCTAAATTTTTAGAAATGCATACTAAAGTATTTAGGGATGAACAATCATGATATCTGGGAAGTATTTCAAAATAATTAAGAAAAAGAATGAAGTATATTTTGCAGTTGATAAATTTTAATGGTAAGTTATGTATTATTTACTTTTCTGTTTGAAAATATTCCTAATAAAAAGTTTTTTAATGGTTTAAGAAAAAAGAAACATGAACAATGATTACTTTCTTTCACATCAGAAACTTCAAACACAGATTTACTTTTTTTTAATGTTCTTTGAAAATTCAGATATATTTACTGTAATGCCAGATCTCCTCTGTCCCATACATCAGAGACCAGGCTGCTCTGAAAGAGAGCAGAGATCCCTGCCTCACCCACTTCTGGCCACAGGGAAAAGGCAACACAGGTGACTTCTGCCTTACTTCTCCAAGGCGCCTAACTAGCTCTGTGGGCCATTAGTGGTAAAGGTGGTGAGATAGTAGCAACTGGCTATATGTAGTGGTACACTGTAATTCCAATGGCTTGGGAGGCTGAGGCAGAAGGATGGCAAGTTTGCAGCCAACCTCAGCAACTTAGTGGAAGCAGGATAGGTGTGGTATTTTAGTATTTTTCATTTATAATGTTTCCTTAAGCATATAGCGATAGACCCTTGATCAGAAAATTGCCCAGACTGAATATTTACTGGCATAATATTTTTAAAGGTGCAATTCTTCAGATGAGAAAGAGCATATTTCTCAAGAAATAACCACAAGCATGCATAGACTATTACCGTTTTCACACTTCATATATTCACGATTATCTTAAAATATGGACTAAAACTTGCTGAAATATCAAGAAAAGCTCTCTGTATGAATACCAAGTGCTGATTTTAATAATTTTACTTTCCATCTTTTAAAATATTTTCTCCTTTGTGTGCTATTGTTTTGTGTTTCACCTCTTTTCATTTGTATTTTTTTTAACCACCATCTTTGCTTTACCAATAAGATTGATTTTTTGAGTTTGAAATGTTACTGAAAACATTATGTTAATATAACAAATTCTTCAGTGAAGTTATATATGTTAATTGAATGAAAATACCTGTTGTGTGCCAAGGTACATATGAGGGCATCTGACATAATAAGAAAAACAAACAGAACCTGCCTGAAGCTTGTGTTCTGATGGAAGGATCAACAAGAAGAACAAGTTGATCACTAATGAGTATGATAGTTGCTATGTGAGAGTGTGCAATGCTTGCCTAGAATACTGAGGGAAAGATTGGAGAGCACTTCCTGAAAAAATATACTGGAGTTGAATTCTGAAAGACTAGGAGGAGTTAGCAAAACAGAGAAGGAAGAACCCATTCTAGAAAGATCAGTGAGGGTCCTACCCCATTTTGAGAAATATCAAGAAGACTGTTTCAGGAACATAAATTACATAAGAGAAGGATGCAACTAGAGAGAGTGTCTAGGTCAGGGTAGATTGTTCTCCTATTTTTTCAGCATTGAACTGAATTTGGCCTTTTTAATGATCTATTTTATACAGTATACTCTGGAGGTCGGATGGTCACATATGAACATCTCCGGGAGGTTGTATTTGGCAAAAGTGAAGATAAGCATTATCCCCTTTGGTAAGTTTTGTTTTGAAAATAATGTGCTATAGCCTCAAAGACTATCTGTTTATTTATATAAAACTGTATATTTATTACAATTACAATTGCTTAGGCTTAAAAAACAAATAATTACAATATAAATCCAAATAATAGAGTGTTTACTGAAAATTGTAAACAGACAATGTGCATATGTAGAAATATTTAATATTTTAATAATGAAAGAATTATAAGGGAGCACAATTATTATTATCTTGGTTTGGTGACTATAAATATAACACATTAAACCAGTGGATTATGTATATTTTATGGTTATAACACTCAAAAGACATTATTCTCAATTTCTAATATTAGAATTCTCAATATTAGAAATTGAGAATAATGCTATTTCTGATAATATTATTTGGTAAGTGTCAGGCTTTATGTATCTGATAAAATCCTTAAAATTTTTCATGTTTAGTGCATTTGAGTTACCTGTATACCCATATTTTATTCAGACATCACTGATCCCAGAATCAAATTTCTAAATGAAAAATGTATCTTAGAAAGAAGACACACAAAAATGAAGCAACCACCCTTCCCTTTGGATTTTAGTCAGATGAAAATAATAACTTTTCTTCCCCCAGCAAACTGACCTGTGGTTAATGCATGCTTCCCCCACACACACACACTGTGTGTGGCTTTTATATTATTAGAAGTTAGTGTGTGATCCATTTCTTTAAGGCTATGTCAAGGAAGTAAACCATCATTCTCATTTTGTACAAGTTTCGTTAGATAAAAAATAAGAATAGTAAAATCTAGCCTTCTAAACTTAAGCAAAATGCTTGCTTGTTTTCTGTCAGTACTTAGCCTCCTTTTTGAATGATTTTAAATTTCTTTAAAAATACCTGTTAGTAGATTTGGCAGTCCTATAATTACAGAGGATGGCAAGTTTCCTATATAATTTTGTTTTGGGCTCTTTTAATTATTTTTGGAGCATAAGGAAGGCATAGTAATAAATATACATTCTGTGAGCATTTGTCTTTTTTAAACAAGCCTGTTTTAGCAAACAATTTTCCATTAGAATATTTTCATTCCCTAATGTTTAGATTGCAAATTTAGAAGCTTGGGAAAATGCATAAGAATTTAGGGATTTGAAGACATAAACTAATATACTTCATTCTCAGAATGTAAAAATGAAGAATGTATCAAATTGACTTTGTACCAAATCCTCATTTCCCTTTAAATGTAGGTTCCTCTGACACTCCTGTAAGTACCTCCATCTTTGACTTTCTGGATATTGTACTCTTTGACTCTTTCAGTATCTCTTCTGGTTTCTTCTTTGCCTCTTTGCTGCTGTTCCCTGCTGGCAAGACTGAGGGTGGCTCCTTGAAAGTCAAGGACTAGTCTTGGTCATCACTGTTTTGCAAGGGAAGAGCACCATGCTGGGAACAGTTTCTGTTCACCTAGTGTCCACTGAACTGGATCTCTGCTCTCCTCCTGTTTGCTGTGCTCTTCTACTCCTGCAATCTCAACCACAGCTGCAGGCTGCCCAGTTCCAAATCAGCACATATAGTTCAGACCCTCAACTTCTAGGCTGTCTCTTGATTCAAGTTTTTCCCTGAAATAACGTATTTTTTCATGCCATTAATCTTTCTAAGACTCATATTGTCATCATGTCATTGCTTATTAAGAACCATAGTGACTTCCAGTGACCAACCTATTCTGGTCTTTTAGCAGAGTACCTTCTTTAGTCCTCCCAGTGCATATCTTAGAACATTGTGATTTAGAATCAGACAGAGATGAACTCCATTTTCCCCTCTCCTACTGTGTTACCTGGGCTTCACTTTTTTTTTTTTTAATCTTCAGTTCCTCAGCTATAGAAGTAATAGCTACCATTAAGCTTTTGTATTTTTTTAGGAGTTGATAGGATAATGAACGTTATGTCCTGTCACTTAGAATATATAAAACAGAAACCATAAAAAATAGGTTACTATATATAATACAAATAGACCTCCTACAAATCAATGAAAAATATAGAGAATGCAATGGAAGAATAAGGGCAGGATTGTCAATAGTTTCCAAAAGAAGAAATATAAGTGTTCATTAAACATGTAAACATACGCAACCTCCCCAGTAATTAATTTAAGGGGAATCAATTAAAACTATCTTTATGCAGTTAAGGGAAACATAAGTTACTATAGACTTTACTTTTTGTAGTGTATACTACTGGTTAAAAATTCTACATGTGCAATCTGTTGACTCAGCTCCTTATTTATGATTATAGTCATTTTGTCTAGTTTTGCTCACTGTTGGCTGATGGGGGAGGAAAAAGACTAGACTAGGAATGGGAAAAGTTTCTTCACAAAGAGCAATATTTTCAAAGCCCTTCACTTGGAAAACTACTAAAGTAGTAGTTTTAAAATTTTGGTTTACCTATTTCTTTGAGGCTGATTACATCTCTGCTGTTTTTCTCATCTGGTAGTCAGAATTAAACTACAGCTAAATGATTCAAGTTTTTCTCTGCAATAACATATTTTTTATGTTATTGTTTTTATATCTTAGAAGCATCCACCCTTTCCTTTGGATTTCAGGCCATGTAAGATCTGAAAGTGCAAATCTTAATTTTAGTTCCTTTCGGTCCTTTACCCTCCTGTCACTAAACAACCAAACCATCTATTTTTTCTCTGTGGTTCATCTGGGTCTATCCTTTTTTTTCACTTTGTCTTAAATTTATTACCCAGGGCCTGTCCCAGCTTAGTACTGGTTCACTGTAAAATTTGTGAAATTAATGGCAACTTTAAAAACAATTTCTCTTTTTACAATTAGGAAGTCAGTCATTGGAGGGATGATGGCTGGTGTTATCGGCCAATTTTTAGCCAACCCAGCTGACCTAGTGAAGGTTCAGATGCAAATGGAAGGAAAAAGGAAACTTGAAGGAAAACCATTGAGGTAAGTTTTCCAGTTAATTGGTGCTTTTGCTTCCCTTTGATATCATCATATTTTGAATATTTATTTAATGGATTTATATTTTTTCCAATCCAGTATTCAGTAAAGGTATTCATACTGTTTTTTTTTTTAATTTGGAAGCTATATTTATGAAGAGGAGAGCTGAGCTATATCTTTTCTTTGCATGACAAAGTGTCTATCTTCTCTGTCATGTGTTCATAACTCTTTGCTGCTATCCCAGCCAACATTGTTAGATTTGTCTTCTATTGCAGGTTGATATAAAGAATTTTATTTTAAGGTTTGCCCTGTTATGCATCCCAGCTTTGCCATTGTGGTTTGTATGGTGTCATTCACTTAACATTTCCAGTCTATTTTCATCTTTAAAAGGGGTTCTCTCAAAAGGTTTTCGTGATGGTAAACATGCCTAGCTGCATAACATTGCTTTTCTTGCTGTCTTCCAGAAAGAAGGGAATTAACAAGGTCAATCTTATGTTCCCATAGTCTTCTCTAATCTAATTCCTCCTACATTCTAAGGCCCTTTAAGGAAGATTTTTTTAAAATTATGCCTCTGTGATATAAAATCTTCCTATTACATTAGCCTATATTAGCAAAGTCAGCCTTTCCTCAAAGGGCAGTTTATTAGAAGAGCCACTTAGCCAGTTTCCCCTGGGAAAGGGCCAAATTTTGCATAAAGATAGACCATTTCCAGGAAAGAGGGAAGTGCAGGATAATGAGTGGAGTCTGAATCCTCCAGGTCTGCAGCAAAGCCAGAGGTGGAGGAGGAGGGTTTGGAGCCATCTTTAGGAGGCCACCCCTGACCACTTCTCTGTACTCACTTCTTCTCTAGCAGATGCTAGAGGATGAGGTTGGGCTGCTATTGCCCCATCTCCCCTTCAGCCTTCAGAAAATGAGTAGATGCCTAGCAGAGGAGAAAAGACACAACTCTGACTTAAACGAGGAGTTTACAGAGCCCCATTTGGTCATTTTGTAACAACTTCTAATGACTTTGAATAGAGAGAATTGATGTAGCCTTGATTGGAGAGAAAAGTGTTGGGAAGGCAGAGGCAGGAGGATTGGGAGTTCAAAGCCAGCCTCAGGAAAAGTGAGGCGCTAAGCAACACAGTGAGACCCTGTCTTTAAGTAAAATACAAAATAGGGTTGGGGATATGGCTCAGTGGTCAAATGCTCCTGAGTTTAATCCCTGGTACCAAAATAAAAAGCTATGTTCTAAACTGATTCCCCAGGATTTTAATCCTCTTTTTTATCCCTAACGCTGGAAATCTTGGGTTTGACTATACTTAATGTTGTAGTAAAGAGCATAATCCTTTGGATCAGCCCAAGGGTCCAATCCAGCCTCAGCCTTTACTACATTTTAGCTCTGTAATAGTAGTCAAATTCCTTAACCATTCTAGCCTCAGTTTCCTCACATATAAATTGGAATAATAATACACATACTTCAGAAACCTTTCAAGATTAAAATGTATCTCATGTATAAAGTGACTGCTACTTAGTAAAGGTACAATACATTTTAGCTACAGTGATCATTTGTGATTCCTTGTAGTATAATAGCAATTATGCATCTCAAGAATGTCATATTTTTGATGTGATTCAGAGAGTAAAATACCTTAGTAAAATCCATACAGCTGGTAAGTGGTAAGGGTGGCGTTTGACTCCGGATTTTTTTCTGTCCATATCAAGCCCAGACTTTTCTTTTACATCAGAGGCTCCCAGATTTGATTCATGCTTCAGCACCATTTTTCACCTGTCTACAGAAATGTGAGCAAAATAAAGATAGGATAGCAAATTTTCATAAAGCTCAAATCATTTAATTTTAAAAATTCTTAGAATATTGTGCATTCTACTTTTGATCTATAAATATTCTTTCTTTTATGAGGTTATAGGAGAGTGATTTTCTTTTTTATTATTATTGTTTGTTTTATTTTTTATTTTTTACTGTGATGTTAGACATCTAACCCAGGGTCTTGCACATGCTAGGCAAGGGCCTTACTGTTAAGCTACATCTTTAGCCCTAAGAATCAATGTTTTTTTTTAATGTTGTTTGACAAGTTTTAAAAATTTGCACGTCCCCTGCAACACTAGTAAGAGGCATCCAGAAGTTCTGTCACTGTTTCCTCCTATATTTAATATGCCTACCAATGATATGTCAAGAAAGATATTTTGACCTTTTTTAATAATCTGAGAAGATCACACAACTTATCATGATTTGTATTAAAAATGTTTAAATCAAATGTTGGCATTCTAAAGAATTAATAAATTTATCTGCATATTAGACTTACACGAATTCCTTTAATTTCTAACAATTCTGAGTAAATGTTATTTTACTTTATAACAGTTATAGGAGAAGCTTATTGGATTGCATTCCATTCTCAAGAGTACACCAACTTTTCACATTTCATTATTATTCTCCTTAGATTCCGTGGCGTGCATCATGCTTTTACAAAAATCTTAGCTGAAGGAGGAATACGTGGGCTGTGGGCAGGCTGGGTCCCCAATGTACAAAGAGCAGCACTGGTGAATATGGGAGGTAATGAAAACTTTATTGAATTCTGAGAAATTCAAACAACTTAATTCTTGCATGCTCTTGTATCAGGGATATGAACATTTTTATTTCATTATTTATAATAACATATATCAGCCACAGGCTCCATATGTTTTATGTTTATTATAATTGAATATATTTCCTGGAATATTTTTACCTTATTCTACAGTAATGTATGACAAGGATTTTCTTCTTAAGAAAAACCAATTATGGAAATAAGGAGAAAAGACCAAACTATTTCTAATCTTCTCTCTAATCCTTACCTCCTTTTAAGATTGATGGTCATTATATCCACAATGTCCAAATCCTTACCCCTGGCAATCCTATTCCTATATAATCCACCTTGTTCAGACTGGTACCCAGGCCAGGAAATGTAAACAATCTCTTATTCATTTCTACCCTTCGCTTCTCATTTTCAGTTCTCAATTTCTTTTCTTATGCCTTAAATATGAACAATTTTTATTTGTCAGTTAGACCTGAATAAAGCTGGAAGAACATTAAATTTTTAAAAAAGATACCTCAGAAAAATACTAATTTATTTTTATTTAAGACACGCTATTAAAATAGTAATATATACTACTGGTGAAGTTTTTAGTTACATTGAACATTAGAGAAAATATGAGAGAAAAAGTATTTTTTAAATAAAGAAATTATGGAAGTACTTTGGATTAGACAAAGGGGAATGAAGGGAGGGGAAGGGGAATGGGAATAGGAAAGATGGTAGAATGAATAACTTTCCTATGTTCATATATGAATACATAACCAGTGTAATTCCACATCATGTACAACCAGAAGAATGGGAAGTTATACTCTATGTAGGTATAATATGTCAAAATGCATTCTACTATCATGTATAACTAAAAGAACAAATTTTTAAAAAATAAACACAACATTACTGAAAAAAAGAAATTATAGGTTGACAGAGAGCAATTTTAACTTCAAAATATAGAACATGTTAAAATATTTTGTAAGAAGAGGTTAACAGCACAGCCATCATCAGACTGAGATAATAGTTGTTAACTGATAATAGATAAAGATGTGAACCATGGATGCTGATGTACATATAGCAAAAGGAAGACAAAAGTTTCACAGGAAGTAAATATAGGGAAGGTCACAGCAACGGTGGAAAAAAGGAAGCTGCTGATCTTTCCTGTTTCGAAAAACAAGAGCACAGAATTTGAGGTGCAGAAAAGAAAGCCTCATTCCTGCCCTCCTAGGGCTTCATCTCTGAGAGCAGTCAATCATGTTTGTGCATGAGAAGGCAACCACCACTCTCACCACTACCATCTTCTGAGTTCTTAAAAGTTTCCCCCTCTCCAGAATGCACCTATTATCCTTAAAGTAACCATTTCCACAGTGCCAACCATCAGAACCTCTCAACTAGACCACTGCCACAGCCATCCATCTGGTCTCCCCCTCCAAATTTGTACCCAGCATCCAGAGTGAGTCATCCAAAGCAAGGATCTGAACATGTTATGATGCCCCTAAAATCTGGCACTGGCTTCTCATTACCCACAGAATATAATTTTGGAGCATGATGGAGATGGTCTGTAGGATTTGCCCTGTGCTTTCAGAGAACTGAACGGTTCATTGATCCTGTTGGAAAGAGTGAAGCAACAAGTCATGAGCCAAAAGGTTCCACTTCCTGCATATGCATAGCTCTTCTTCACCCCTCTCCTTTCTGTCCTCTTCCCTGTTCTTCTGTTTAGTTTTCCTTGACAGATCCTCTATTAAGAGTAATATTCTTGTCTGAAGAATTCTTCTCCACCAATGTATTGTTCCAGAACCTTCCACGATCCCTTTAACCACAGCATGTTATCTTAGATGCTCTTTTATGTGTTTCTATAGTTCCCTGTGCCTAATGCTGCTGCTTGTAGCTCATTTCATTGATTTCTAATGTCTGTATGTTCCACTAGATACAAGCCTGTTCCACTACATACAAGCCTCTTGAAGGCAAGGACTGTGTTTTTATTCATCTTTATTTTCCCCATCCTTCATGCATAGTCATTAAACATTTGATGAATTAGTCAATGAAAGAATCCTTTCTAAGTCCAATTATATGATTCTAAGAAATTTATAAGGAGTACTTTCAAGGGTTCCAGTACTGTATCACTTAAAGGAAGTAAATCTATTTTCTGTTTTGCTATTCTATCCATTTGTGTCTAGTATATCACATTATTACTGGATATTTTGGTTTTCAGAGAACCTTTCTGATTGTAGTTTATCAATTTGTTGCCTAAGATTATTGCCCAGATTTCTCTTCCAAATTCTAGTTACTTACTGAGAATCTTTTTTTGGATATCTTAAGTATATTCCTTTGAATGTGTCCAAATCAGGCTTCTATATAAAACCATCTTTGTTTCCATTCTTTATAATATCAAAATATAAAACAATCCCTTCTGCTATACAAGTGAGAAACCTAGGCATGATTTTTGGCTCTTCCTTTCATTTGTTTCTTATTTCTAAATAGTCACCAAGTCTAGGCAATGTATTCTTATAGATACAGAGCGAATTTAAATGCTTCTCTCCATCTGTGGAGCCACTTGTTTATAAATGATGGAGTCTCAACTCAACCTAACTTCGACCCCAAAATGAATTTATTAGTTGGCTAAAAATTCCAAGGGTTGAGCTCAGGTTACTCATAGCTGGATTCAGGTATTCAAATGATACATCCAAGTGTCACCTCTTCCTCTTTTCCTCTTCCTCTATCCTCTGCCTGAATGAATGCTATATTTCATTCCGGTACACATTCCTGCCACAAGCCAGTATACTCTTTACACAAAAGACATTCACTGTTGCATAAATGAATATTTAAACCTTCTTTTTCCATTGCCAGATTTAACCACTTACGATACAGTGAAGCACTACTTGATATTGAATACACCCCTTGAGGACAATATCATTACTCATGGTTTATCCAGGTAAGTGATTGTTTTAGTATGACCCTGTTTTTTTTCTTTTTATATTATCACCCTTTCTGGCTTTTGTGGCATAAATTCCAACTTGGGGACACTCGATCAGGAATCTAGTGGTATCACCCTTAGAGAAGGATGATAGTACACTCATTAAGAGTAATATTCTTAAATTTTATTGAAGTTAAAATAGGGAGGAGAGATAAAATTACAGGCTATTTCAGATTAAACCTCCCAAAATATTTACAACTTGATGGGGCCATCCCAGGGTCAATTTGTGTTAAAGTTGCTGTGTAGGCCCCTGTGTTGACACACAAACAGTGCATCCAGCCCCTGCCTAGGGAGCTGACCAACAGGAGAACAAGACAAGTATAAAAACACTGCATAGTAAGTGCTGAAACAAAATGGTCACTGGAGGGTTCAGAGGAGGGAGGAAACAATAACCACTTGGAAAGGCTCACAAAGGCATAATTAGATAAGAATTTGAAGAAATGTGACTCTTCTAGAGATGAACAGAAAGAAAAGCACTCCAAGCCGGGGAATTTCCTCAATCTCTCCATATCACAAGTTCAAATTACCCATGAGAATGAATTGGTTTTTAGATGTCTACTGTCCTTAACATTGGAGTCATTTCATTTAGCTTCTGTTCTTGTTTACAAATTCTGGATCCCTCTAGGCTATTCAGATGACCCCCAAAGAATATAAAATAGTGTCAAACCATATTTAGAGATACATATATTTACTAACACACACCAGGAGCACTCTGGACTCAGGTCCTTTGCTGTTCCTTCCTCCAGGTCTTCACAAAGGAGACTCAGTGATGCTGTCACCCCCTAGAACTTTTCCCTGCCTGCCTGTCACCTAGTTTTTCCCTCTCACACTACCCCATCTTATTTTTTATACCATTATCAACATCTGAAATTATTCATCTCTTCTTTGCCTCTCCCCATGTAGAGTGTAAGCTCTTCCAGGTCAGGGTCTACCTGCCTCATTAATGGTCTAAAAGGATGTCTGGTACCAGGAGGTGCTCAGTGTGGATCTGTTGCCTGATTTTTTTTTTTTTATATATATATATATATATATATATATATATATATATATATATATATATACACACACACATACATACATACACACACACATTTATCTAACTAAATATATATGTATCTAACTAAATATATATATTTAGATACAAAACCTTTATTTTATTTATTTGTATATGGTACTGAGGATCTAACCCAGCCTAGCATGTGCTAGGTGAGCACTCTACCACTGAGCCATAACCCCAGCCCCTTGCCTGAAATTCTTTTTGATATTATCTTTTTCTTTCTACTTCTTTACTGAATCAATTTTGCACTTATCTTAAGCTAAAAGAGCACCATCATAAAGAATATTATAATAATATATTTAGGATTCCATTCTTTTTAAGTATCAATTCCCCTTCCTTAAAATATAGGAGGTCTTGCATATTATCTTTCAATTTCATTAATTTGTATCTACAGTTTATGTTCTGGACTGGTAGCTTCTGTTCTGGGAACACCAGCTGATGTCATCAAAAGTCGAATAATGAATCAACCACGAGATAAACAAGGAAGGTAATGAGAAATTCTTCTATATTTGTGTGATTGTCTATAAGAATACAATTTTTTGAAGATACTTTCCTGGGTACTTTTTTTTTTTTTGGCAATAGTGGGGATAGAACCCAGGGGTGCTCTACCACTAAGCTATATCCCTAGCCCTTTATATGTATTTTATTTTGAGACAGGGTCTCTCTTGCTAAGTTGCTGAGATTCGTCTTGAACTCGTGATTCTTTTCCTCAGTTTCTTGAGTCACTGGGATTACAGGCGTGTGACACTGTGCCTGTTTTATGTAGTTATCCTTTTTTGGGGGGGAGGTACTGGGTATTGAACTTGGGCCACTTGACCACTAAGCCACATCTCCAGCCCTGTTTTGTATTTTATTTAGAGAGAGGGTCTCACTGAGTGCTCAGTGCCTTGCCATTGCTGAGGCTGACTTTGAATTCATGATTCTCCTGCCTCAGCCTCCTGGGCTGCTGGGATTACAGGCATGTGCCACTGCTCCCAGCTTGTAATTATTCTTGATAGAAATGTATTTATGTGTTTTTGTGGTCAAAGAGGAAATTGTTTTTATGTAATCACTTCCTCTTTGATGAAAAACTACTATGTATTTGTGGAAATGAGCTAATTAACAATCCCATTATTTTAAGGCAAGGAATTAATTGTGACTTATTTTTCAAAGAGTTTTTGAAAGCATTCTCTGCTGAGCATTTACACAGCACTTTCTTCAGAAGCCTTTCACTTTCAGGTAACATGGAGAATTTGAGTCAATATGAAATAGTCCCTCCTCTCTGGAAGAAATCAGATGAAGTGAATTCTAAGTATAAGATCAAGGGTGGATGAATCAGAAGTCAGCCTTGAAAATTTCTTTAAGCTCAAATGAAGCTAACTATATCTTTAAGACCACAAATATTATTTGTTAAAGATGAGCAGAAAATATTTAACTTATAATATTCTTTTAGACAATTTTATTTATGTGTCTGTTTATACTGAGGAAATTTAACAGGTCTTTTCTTCCCTTTTTAGGGGACTTTTGTATAAATCATCAAGCGATTGCCTGATTCAGGCTGTTCAAGGAGAAGGATTCATGAGTCTATATAAAGGCTTTTTACCGGCTTGGCTACGAATGGTAAAGTTGGACATTTTATTTCTTCCTTCCTTTTTCTTTTCTTTATATTTAAATCTATAAACATTTTCCCTTTTCTCTTCTGGTTTGTGGCATGGCTCTGCCCCCAAATGAAGATCCGTCCTTTCTGTTTGAAATCTTGTTCAGTTTTCTTTCACCTCTCCTCAGAGTCACATTGCCTTTCTTGGAAGATTAAATTAGTTACCTCTATTAACAAATAGATTAGTAATCTGTTATAAAATCAGTGGATAGATTTTTGGCAATATAGAATCTTTAGTAGTCTATTTAGCTAAAATACAGTAGATTGGGAAAAGTATACTGATTTCAGTAGGGATCTTTCCTATGAGAAGTTTGCAGTTTCAAACAAAATTTGTTACTTTGATGGCAAATGTTACATCTGCTGATTACCTTAAAATTCTGCTCCACGAGAAACCATTATGTCATCCTTATTTGGTTTAAATGTTATTTTTATACATATATATATTTATATATTTTTATAATATATTTTATATTTTAAAGTGAATTAAGATATAGGATTAGATTTGTTTAAGTAATATAAATACAACATAAGGTACTCATGACTTTTGTAAGATAGAAAATATTTGAAGGAATGGATGAATTATGGATTTAGAAAGTTAAATAATCAAAACTAATAATTATATATAGCATATATGTACATGTGTATACATATTTAATTGAACACCTACTTCATGCAAAGCCCTGTACTAAGGGCTTAGCCTTAAATAAGAAACTGGAAGTGATGAGTGTTACAGGAAGAGCTCTTGTGCTATAGAAATGTGTAACAAACAAGTACGGCCTACTCTGGGAAGTTAAGAAAAACCCTCTGGTTCTTAGAAGGCTTTGGAACTGATCTTGGAATAATGAGTACAACTTGGCCAGGTAAAAGGGAAAGAAAGGAGCACTCTGTAGAGAGCCATAGTTGGAGTAGACAAGACAGTGTGATGAGTACAAGGAAGCCCAGCAGGCCAAGGCACAGGGCCCCCAGGCAGAGAGTGAAAGGCTTGATTCAGGAGGGCCACTTGAACCCTTCAGTGGTGGCCATTGGCTTGATTAAATCTGCATTTTTAGAAAGATTCTTCTAGCTTTCTTGGGCTGAGAAAAGTGTAGAGTAGTGATAAATGAGGATAATAGTGGCTTAGATGAGTGTTGGTAATGGGACAGAAGATGCGTTATAAAGTGGAATTTAGGAAGTAGAAATGTGACCAACGGGATGAGGAAAGGGGAATGGAGGAGAAGATAAGAAAAGTCAGGCCCTGAGCAATCAATATTTCCAAATGGGGATTATTTGCAAGGAAAACAATTTGGGAGTAAAATGAGTTTAGTTTTAGATCTTGGAGGTTTGGATACAGATAGCACATTTGAGTGGAAAGGTCTAGATGAATAATTTAATATATAGATCTGGATCTTACAAGAGAATTGGGGATGAAGATTTAGATTTGGGCACAGCCAACATATAGATGGTAACTGAAGCTATGGGAATAAATGATTATTAAGAGACAGTAGATGTTTATTAACATGGAATTAATAACCAAAATAATAGCTCAAAGCAATATCTGATACAAAATGCACTAGAAAAAAAAACAAAAAATTTTTGAAAATGTACTAGAGTTTAAAAAACACACAAACATTATTTTGGTGATCTTAATTATGCAGTACCTTGGTATTATCTCAAAACTGAAAAAGTAGGTTTTGTTTTGACTTACATTAATCAGACACTGTCACAGGCATAGCTAATATACTAAGGAATAAGAATCTTTGTGCTAGAGGAGCTTATAACAAAACTTAGAAGTTAAGTAAGTAGTTAAAATCCTAGAAATAATATATATTTCTAAATACATATCACAGAAACACTTGGTATATGATGAAAACTGTGCTAGTTATTTTTATGACTTAACTTATTGAATTTGCCCCACAATTTCTGCAGTAAGTTGGTCTCCTGTTCCCCTTTTATAGAGGAGGACATAAAAATTTAGTTTGAATAACTTGGCAAGGCTAAGATGGTTGTTAACTAATATTCATACCACTGACAAATCCAGTGTCAAATCCAGGCAGCCTGATTCTGGAGGAGGTAGCATCAGGGGTTGCATTAGTACCTGTCAGTGGTATGAACAATACCCTGTGGGAACATGGCATATATAATAGAAATGGCTGTAACCTAATCTGAAACTAACAAAAGTCTACGCAGAGCTGTTTTTGAAGCCTCAGTACATATTGGTCAAGAGAAATAGGAGGAAGCAGTGTGAACCTAGGCACCATGTTATGTGTGTGCCCAGTGAGTGTGAAGAACTGTCGGCAATTCAGCGTGTCTGGAGACAAGGTCTTCAGTGGGAGGTAGCAGGAGATGAGGCTGAAGACCTCCCTAAGGACCCAGATGGAAAAGACCTTGAAGGCCAAGCTTAGTGGTCTAGGGGTGATCCTGTAGTTAGCAAGCACCTGTGTAATCATGGGAACAACACACTAAGATTACTGTGAACATAGTAGAGATGACGTATGGAAAACTGGGGCATAAGAAAGTTTTGATAGTGTCTAACCAAGAAATCACTGTAAGGAAAACATTCTAAGGACACTTATGGTTAATGCCATAGGGCTTTGTAACTGATTAAATGTGGAAGGCAAGGGGCAGAAAAAACAAAATGGGATTTTTATGTTTCTAGTTCAGGTGATACATTGCCAAAATATTAAGTTAAGATCAGTCAGGATGAGGGGCAGGAAGATTATAGATGACAAAAAAGAGTATTAAATATGTTCAAAGCTCTTTGTATACATTAATTATTGTTAGACTCTATTTTTAGGAACCCAGTAAAGCAGGTAGTGTTATCCTCATTTTTCAGATAAGAAAACAATGGCTAAATGTGTAAGAAACTTACTGAAATTCATACAGCTAGTACATGGCAGAGCTACACTGCTGGAAGGTCTGTTCAATTCAAAACCTCCTGCTTCTTACTAATGCAGTAAACTGAGTTGATCAAGACCCTGCAGTTAGTTTACAGAAATTCTAACACAATAGAAATAATATGTAGTGATGGAGAGGCATTAGCAAAGAAAGGATGGCTAACCAGCAAAGATCACCAGGGTACCATTGCATGCTGATTTTTCACAGTGCAGGAGTCTGAGCTCAGAAGCCTGACTCATGAACACTTCCAAGTAAATTGGTCTTGACAATACAGACTCACCTAGCTGAACTCATTGAAAGTGGTGATTAGACCAGAGCACCTGGAATATTCAGTGCACTACACATAGAGCAAGTCATCCAGGTGTTGATGACCTCAGGCCAGCAGGCTTCSTCTGGAATTCAGGCTATATGGTGGCCCAAGTTATAATTAGAAGGTTGCTGGCTTACCACAGAATCACCACAGGAAGAGCCTATTTATAGACTTAATATTTCAGAATATCAACTCAAGAGAGCTCTTCTGTGTCCAGCTGCACAATAACAGGAATGGCAAAGCATTCTGCTTTTTTTTTTCCAGTAGTTGTGCAAAAGGCAGACTAGAGGAAACAGCATAGGTTCGCCTACACTTAGATTATTTACAGTGATCATAATTATGCCATCGAGGAAATCAATAAGTAAACAGTGTCCGCATGCACTCCTGTGCAGAGACTCAGGAAAACCTCACTCATTTTTTACCTACCACATTCTTGGGCTATCTAATCTCCCTCTTTAAACTGGATACAAAACCCAGCTAAGCTCTCCCCAACCCCTTCCACTAGGTAGAGGTGGTATGACCTTGTTGGGCTCAGTCCTAGTTAATTTTTACTTTGTTTGAGTATGATTTTGATAATATAATGTTGTCTTTAACATGAAGAAGAAATCCAATCACCACAGCAATTAGGAGTGATTGCATGGTTCATTCTTTAAACTAAGTGCACACCCTCCTTGATCTGACTACAGTTAGATCTTTGGTTCACTTCACTTCGGTTGTCCCAAGAATATGGTATCTTTATTTATTTTATGTCTTCATACATTAACTAAAATGTGTTCTTCTAGATCCACTATTTAGTAAATTCTCAGGTTACCAATGTAACATATTCAGTATTTCTGAACACATGACAAGAACACATGACAGCTTTACAAACTCCCTAACCAAGTACATTTGTATTCTAATTGCCTAAGTTTCTCTCTCTCTTCTAGTAGGATGGAGTTCCTCTCCAGTCAGTATTGATCAGAACCAAACAATCAGGAATTAGATCTAAGGTTTCCTTTGGTGTTCAATGTCTACACACTAGTGTTTATTATATCTTCTTCTGACCTGTCTCCTTTTAGAAGTCCTTTGTTCAGGTTAAAGTCAAACCTTTCTGAGATAGAAGCTGTTTTCCCTAGTTAATGTGAATGTTCATATACATGTTGTGAGACATCAGGTTTTGGGGTTTATATGATCTCTTAAAGAATAATCTTTATTTTCCTTACTTCAAGTTTTTAAGTCTAGTTGTTATGCTGCATATACAAACTACATGTAAAGGAGCCCAGCCTAGACTTCAGGCATCTGAGTTCTAGCCCTATTGCCAGAAGAGGTTATTTCAAAGAACCCTGGGAGTGGGAAACAGAAGCTTGCCGTCTAGTTCTGCACCATGTCAGTAGGCATTTGATTGCTAAACCTCAGTGTCCTCATCTGTTAAATGGGGACATCATGACTTTTCCTTCATATTATACATATACTAGAGAAATAGGTGATAAATAAGACATGAAAATGCTTTTGAAATTATAAAGTGCTATACAAAGATGAAAGACAAGATATTTGGTTTGGGCCTACATGGATTCAAAATTACTCTGTCACTCAAAGATGTATATGCATATATGTAGAATATTTATAATTTGCTTTGAAATACGCACTAACCTCTTTGGTTAATCTTTCAGACGCCTTGGTCATTGGTGTTCTGGCTTACTTATGAAAAAATCAGAGAGATGAGTGGAGTCAGTCCATTTTAAGCCCTTAAAGATACAGTGTTCAGTATTATTGAAATACGGGCATCTGCAACACACACCCCCTATTATTTCTACCTCTTTAGGAAGACACCTTACTCCACAGAGACTGTGATTTATAGGGGACAGCACTTTATTTTTCTTTGGAAACCCAAGTTCTCTTTGACTCCTCTTTTTGTCCAAAAGTGATCTGGTCGGATCTCACAAGGCTATCCCAGGAGACCCAGCACACTGTTTTCTAAAGAAGAACGGAACCCTGATGACTTTCACCTTGGGCAAGATGGTTTGGCCCTTGAGATGCTATTTGCACTGAAGAGACTGCTTAGAGGGAGTCAGCATCTCAGAGCTGAAGTAGACAATAGGAATATGGAAGAATATATATGTAGTGCTTAAAAAATACTTTTAACCTGTTGTGTCAGTGTTTATAATTGAAGTTTCACAATTCACTCTTCTGTTGTTGTAAAGTATACATATTGTAAATTAAAGGGAGGTAAAAATTCATGAAGAAACATCTTGAGCTTTCCTACTGTTGAAGGAAATGGATGTACATTTTCTTGCAAAGAGGATAAAAAATAAATGTGAAGTTAAGATGATGTTTGGATGTCAAGCAAAGCTGCTTGCTGTCAGTGCCCATCCTTCGCCCTGTGTTCATTGGTTAGCATTCCACTACACTTGCTAGTAACTTCCCCTAATAGCCACAGACTCGATGAATCGAGATAAGAGAAGAGCATTTGCCTTGTTACATGTCCCATTTCAACATGGATTTATCACTGGATTTCAAGAATGTTATAATGAATCACAGTTGAGGGGCTGGGGTTGCAGCTCAATGGCAAAGGGTTTTCCTGGCACATGTGAGGTCCTGGGTTCTATCCTCAGCACCACATAAAAATAAATAAAATTAAGGTATTGTGTCCATCAACTAAAAAATAAATAAAAGAACCACAGTTGATTTGATTAAAATTCAGCTGCATAGGTCCCTTTGTAAAAAGCATCCTTTGTTACCATCCGCCTTTCAATGGTATTTTAAAAGCAAGACTGATATGAAGTCAGCCAACTCTGATGTGTGTCCTTTCTTACCCTGCTTTCCTAACATTAAGGGAAGGAAGGAGGGAGTGAGGGGAAGGACGAAGAAAAAGAAATCACAACCTACTAACAATGAATCTTACTCAGTTTGACAAAGTTTCTTGCCTAAAATGTCATAAGTATAAACTGTCTATGGTATATAGTCATGTATCCAGTCTTTGAACCAAATCACTGTTCTTACTGGACGCAGTGGCACATGCCTGTAATCCCAGCGGCTCAGGAGGCTGAGGCAGGAGGATCATGAGTTTAAAGCCAGCCTAAGCAATATCAAGGCACTAAGCAACTCTCTGAGACACTGCCTTTAAATAAAATACAAAATAGGGCTGGGGGTGTGGTTCAGTGGTCAAGTGCCCCTGAGTTCAAACCCTGGTACCCCCTGCCCATCACGTTTCTTATTTTAGAAAGGTAGAAGATTTCTCCAGATTCATCTGCATCCTACATGCTCCCCCATCCTTAGACAGTGGACAATTCTGGATGGATTGCTGAATTATGGGAAAAGACTGTAACTGTTAAAATAGGAAAACTGAAAAAGCTCAGGCCCAAGAAAGACCCTGAAGCTAACAAAATAGAATTTGTTATGATGAACATGGATGATGTTGGATGTTGTTGGACAGAAACAAGTTTACAAGTGCTCTGTGGTTGCACTAATGTATAATCACTGCCATTTTAAGAGGGGGAAGTACACTTCAAAATATGTAATAATATGATATAATAATATGCAGTGGCTTATTGTTGCAAAATGTGTATTTTAATCTCATAAAATCCTCTTTAGGTTTTCTATTTTTGCATTGCATTTGCCAATCTGTAATTGATTTGTCAAATATACTTAATGTATATTATGTGCTTAAATCCCTAGTGTTCTGTATTGAACAACTTTGGGGAAATTTTGATTTTTTATGTTTTGTAATTTATAAGATTTAAGTGAAAACTGTATCAAAATAATTACATTGCAACTGAATTATTTTAAAAAAGGATTTAGTTTTATTCTTTGGGGGGCTTGGGACTAAAACATTGCATAAGTAAGTTCCTTGGTATCTGAATCAACATGAACTGGAATTTTTAACCTGAAATGATTCCTTGGGTTCATCTCCTTTACATGTTAGGAAACTGAGTCTCAGAGAAGTACAGTTGTGCATGCTCATAGTGACTTAATAGTGGAGCCAGGATAAAAATTCAGATTTTCTAATTATTATGATCATTACATCTGATAGTTATTGTGCACTAATTAGATACCAAGTAAATGTCTTATATCATCTTCACAACAACTCAGTCCAGCAATGTTGCATCTTCCAAAAACAGGTTTTCTTTTTACTTTTTTTTTTTTGTCTCTTTACATTTTAAATGAATCTGAATTTCTTCTAGTACAAATTTTAGAATGGAGTCATGATGCTTTGGTTTGAACATTTAATCTTAATCCATAATCTGACTAAATCCTGTGTATCTAACATACAGCCCATCATGGTCACACTTCTCTAGTGAAATCATTCATTAATTATCTTGGAACTTTGCTTTAATTTTGCCAACTGGGAGTCGTCTTGTTCCTTTCCAAAATAACCCAGTAAATAAAAAGAAATACAATTTCTGTGATATTCTGTACATATTCATAGGCTTCACAATTCCAGTTTTCCCTTTCTTATTATAACACTACTTTATGTGGTGCTTCTCTATTTCTCTTTAGTTCTGTATTGGTAATATTTGACATTTCAGCCCTTTGCTTTGCTTTCACATTTTTTTTCTCATTGAAAAGTGTGTGTGTGTGTGTGTGTGTGTGTGTGTGTGTGTGTTTGGTTATATAGAGTTGTTCTATATTTTTGGTTATATAGAATTTTTATTATTTTTGTTTATATAGAGTTCTCTCTTCTTTGTATAATTAGCATATATATTTAATTAAAAAGATAGTATTTCTTAAGTTTGCTTAGTTAGGTACAATGTGTTTTTCAGGTATTCTAATCCTGTTTGGTTATTATACACTATTGATAGGGATTACATGTTCTGTTTTTCTATGATTTCCATTCTTTGTAGTAGCATTTTTTTGCTATTAAGAACTCAGGAAAAATTGGTTGCACTTACATATAACATGAAACACCTAACTTTGTGTTATTTTAAGAATTTGTATTTATGAGTCTGGAATTCCTGTTATCATCCAAGTTTTCAAACATATTTATAATTCATATAGTCACACATGTTTTTCTCAGGCCCTTCTTTGGGAAAAAAATGCTTAATTTTAACACTTGATAATTAAAAATTTAGGGGGGGGAATAAATTATCCTCTTATCCCAGAAATCTTTAAAGATGATTACCACATATATGCATACATATGTATGTATGTATGTATGTATGTATGTGTGTGTATATATATATATACATTTATATATGTATATATATAAAGAATAATATTGTTGTTCAATATTATTGAACAACAGATGATGTGGAAGAAGAACTTAACCTAAAATCTATCCTAGTTTGGACTTTACTTCTAACATAATATAAATAGGATCGAATCCCTTCACTTCCCTGGATTTCCATTTCTTTACCAGATGAAATGATTGATCTCTAGAACCTCACCAGTCTATACCTAAAGGGGACCATTACATTGATATTATGTTTTAAAAAATTCACTGGTGTTTGTTTTTCCTCGGTTTATTTCTCATATTTTAAGATTGGAAAATTTTGTTCAGACTTTAAAATATACTACAGATTTTTTACATGGCTGGAGTGTCTCACCTTGAAATCTGTTTTTCTTGGGGAAACAGTCTTCCTACAAAACAGCTCTAGGCACATCATCCTGTATTGTTACCTTCAATTTCTCCTTCCTATACCTATGATGAAGATTAAAATCCTCAATGCTATCCCATGTCAGCCTCCCCACCTCCTGCCCTCTTCTGGCCTTTACCTTTCACTGCATACCTGTCACCACCCTCTGCAAATGCCTTGCTATACCCATCTCCCCTAACATGTTTGGCTACTTCTCAAGCAGGATCATTATGTGCCTCTAAACTTTCCTCCCACCACCACCACCCATTCATCTTCATTTGATTGTCTAGTTAAACTCTTAATACCTAAAATGATCACCTGCTGCTTCCTTCGGAAGCCTTCAACAGCTTCAAAGCCTCTGTACTCCTGTTGCTTCCCCTGCTACATAGCAGTACACATCAACTCCCCCACACAAAATGAGCCGCTTGAAAGCAAAGACCAAGTAATACATCTCTGTATCTCTTATGAACATAGAAGGTATTTGTAGAATGAAAAGAAATTTTTGTAAGAGGTCGAAAGAAAAGTATCTATACGTACATATTTAATTCATATTTTGTATTCCTCCTACCTGCAGAATTATTATTTCAGGTAATGCCTCTGATTTCATTATTTACCATATTTAATGCTCAGCTTCCTTTTTTAGAAGATCATGTGTATTTAAACATGCCATAGTTTCAAGAAGTATCACCTACATCAGTTTAGTAACTATAATCCAAAACCTGGAATTTGATAGATTTAAATAATATAAATTTTTATTAGTTGATTGAGTTAATAAATGTGATTATATTATTCTTTATTGTTTAGTATGTATGAAAATTATACTAGTATTTGGCCTTCATTGATAACATACATATGCACATTTCACCCACTCAGTTGTTTCATTATTTCTGAATTTTGAGAAATACATGATTATTTTTCTTTCCCCATACTTTGCCCCCAGCAGGCTGCTGTGATTGTCAACAGCAGCAGGAGCCACTTTGAAGGTTTGATAAAAGCAGATGAAGATGCTTAAAGAGGTCTATTTGCTGAAAATATCTGGTAACAAACAGGAATATATGTGAGTAAATATAGTGACATCCTGATTTTTAAAAATAAATGTTTTTTTTTAAATGCCTAATTGGTTGTTTTCAAGGATTGTTTTTTTCCTTGGTGTGGTTTTGAGTTAAAGATGCTAATAAAAAGTTTGCAATTTTTAAAAAATCTTGACCTTTATTTCTCACACTTAAAATAGAAAATGGCTTAATTTAGGGCATTGCACTTGATGCCAAAAGAATTCTTCTACTTTTTAGCTATAATTTTGACTTTATGATTACTCCCTATTAACTCAGTTATTCTTTCTCACTAAAAAGGATAGATAACTAATAATTAGTGATGAGCATGCTTACTGGCTGAGATAGAAGGGTAAAATAAAATTGAAATTAATTTAAATGTTAGAGAATTAGTCCTTTCTGATACTACATTCCACTTTGGTTTCCTTCTTGGCACTCATATGATAATTTCATTTGTTATTTCTTGGTCTCTATTGGCTATTTCTTTGCTGCCAAATCCTTAAATTTTGGCTCTTCAAGGTTCTTTTCTTGGACCTCTTCTCAATTTTCACTCTTTCATTAGGAAGAGCCACATGTTTCTGTGATATCAGCTACTATCCTTAGGCTGGCAATCTGTATTTATGGTCCCTACTCATTTCTCAAACCT